TTTTATTTCTTATCATTTATCATTTATTATGCTATTTTTAACCGTGTAGTAGCGATATAAGAACATCCACTACCCTATGTAATCCCGTGGGTGTCGTAAGGCGACAGAGGGTAATAAACTAGGTAATGGGCAGCAGCGTCTTCCTAATAACAACTACAAAATAATTTAAAATTAAAAATTTTGTACAGCCGACTTCAATATAAGTTATTAAGAATAACTCAAATAACTCAAAAACTATTAGTCTGACCTTGATCAATTCATATGGGACCACACGAGAAGTATCAGCTTTCATATAAAAAAAGAATCATCGAAATCGGTCCACCCAGTAAAAAGTTATGAGGTAACACACATAAAAAAAAACATACGCGTCGAATTGAGTACCGGCTCCTTTTTAGAAGTCGGCAGATAAAAAGAACTGCGGTTGCCTACCTGTTTACATAAATAAATATAAATATCACAGATTGCCTCACGGGATATAAATATCACAGATTGCCTCATGTGATATAAATATCACAGGTTGCCTCATGGGATATAAATATCACAGGTTGCCCTAGGGATATAAATATCACAGGTTGCCCCAAGGGATATAAATATCACAGATTGCCTCATGGGATACATATCTTCCCATGAGGCAATCTGTGAGGCAGGTTTAGGTTTAAAAGTAACCTTTTGATGGCTGTAACAGTAACGGCATTCTATTTCTCATAATCTTGTGAATTTACGAAACCATTGCTTTGATACGAATTATTATTTCTTGTATTTTAATTTTAGAATAGACAATGTAACGGTCTTTTGCCAGTCGTTGAAGCTGAATATTTTAAACGCTCCATAAAATTAGATTGCGGAATCCATCGTCGTTATTATATATGCTTTTGTTAAGTAGCGTGTTTATAGTTTGAATGTAAAAAACGTACAAGTAGTGGTTTTTGTTTTAATAACTTGAATTAAGTGTTATAACTGTATTTAAAAAATTGAGGCAGATAGTCGGTTAATGTGCTTTTATATCATAATGTTACAGCGGGATGATCTTGTCACGCGTCGACTCCGAGGGTGAATGCACTTAGTAAATAGTCTTCGAGTTAAATAAATCTCTGTATTTGCATGCGCATAGTATTAAAGTTTCGTTCAAAAATGAACTGTATATAGTTATTGTAAGGAATATTTTGTATTGGTATTGTACAAGGAATTCCTGTGTAGTTTTTTAACAAACTCAAAGCAAAGGTCGTAACTCTTACCGTCTTTAAGTCTTTTGAGAATTTTAAACAAATATTTAGTACACTTAAAAGTTTATTTGCCTAAGCGAAACTCATCTAATACCGAACTTCGCCTAAATTAGAAATCGAATGGATATGGTGGAAAATGCGTATAATGAATTATTCGAATCCCGCCCCAGAGTTTCTGTAGAAAAGGCTTCAATGATATTCTGTTAAAAGTGAAAAAAAAAAAAACACTATAATACTTCCGACACTCCGATTAAATACTTGTCTTAACTTAATTTAAAAGTTTTTAAATTTTTCTATAACGACAACTTTATAGGTAAAGATCAAGGCCTATTAGAAGTAGTTGCGGCCCATACAAAATGGAGTGATGACCTGGGAGGACCTGGATTCCTGCATCTCTACGCAGGAAGTCGATGGATGCGGGTGACTTGAGACTGAGATTTTTGGCATTACCACCGCTGAACTTCCTCCTTAGGGGATGGATGGAGGATAGAATATAGTCCTCCCTTAGGGGCCTATGTTCGGCGGTGGACTTGCGATGGACTGTAATGATGACGACGACGATGATGATTCAAAGTCCTTATTTAAACACACGAATCTATTTGTGTTACAAATAAAAGCTAGAAAATAAGCCTAGTTTTGCTTACGATTGTTTACAAACTGTATATCATTCCAAAATATAGAAAGTAATATTGAATATAGGTAGGTTTCACCACAAAGTTTTCGTGACTTATCTGTATTTAATAACTGTATTTAAAGTTATCATTTCCTGTATTACTTACGAAGGCGAGAGGCAACGTACATGGTGTTGTGTTTGAATATAAATACTCAGTTCGTCCATTTCCTAAGCATTTCATTTTATTCTTCTAGTTCAGGTGAGACACGACTTATGAGAATGTTAGCCAAAATACTGGGGACCACTTATCTCCCTCTTATCTATTGCTGCCGCCAAATAGTAGTGCTTGTAATGCTGTGTTCCGTTCTAAATGATATATAGAGATCCAGTACAGTTAAAGGCAGTGAGGCATTCCATCTCAGTCCTCAAAGGTGACAACTCATCTGTAACCTCCTTTGTTTGAAGTTGGTTGCCGATGTCCATAGACTAATAGATTAACGTTGCTGTGTTTCGTATGGTGAGTGTAAAGAACCGGAGACCCTTTTTACTAGAAAAGAGGCATTCCCTCTTAGTCCTCACGGCTCTAAGCGCATCTGCATTTTGATTCGCAAATGAGGATAGGTGTAGATGTCTATGGGCCACAGGAACCACTTACCATTAGGTGGACTATGTGCCGGCTTATCACCCTCATCGTATTTAAAAAAAAAGGTGTATCGTAAGTCACTTCAGTTTAATATAAACAAATATGTTTACATCTGTTTTCAGAATAAATTATAATAAATACATAAGGTCACCAATGCTATCCGTGGAATCCTTCTGTTATATTATCTGTTATCATCTTCAGTTATAATCTGTTACATTTTAATATATATATAAAAAAAATATTTAGGATGCCTTTTGGAAGATAGACAAAGGAGACAAAAAATATAAATAGGTACACAGCAAGTACACCGTACCTATATGATATTGTCGTTGGGATATATTTATTCTCACTGTGTTTTACTGTAGTGGTTAATGTTTACAAGCGTAAAATCATGCACGGCATGGCGGGGTTGACGACCCAGCGAAAGCTTCTGGTAGTGGCATCTGACGACAGTCTCCAGTTTCTAGACTGCGACATGTGTCATGCTCATTCAAACGTCGAGGGCCTTATTTGAATGTCACTGGAAATGAGACGTAGACGGAACGGTAGACGGCAATTGTTTAATACGGCGCAATCTTTTATTCTATGCGTTTGCAATTGAGAATTGAACAATCCCAAGCGCTTGGAGCGATGACACTGATAGCATGTCTTTGTCGTATGTGAGTGAGCGTGCGAGAGCAGTGCGTGCGTATTGATCGGTTTTTTAACAACTACTGAAGTTTATTTATGATAAAATATTTGATTTACACAGAATCTTACCTATCAACAATCTTATCAACCTGTCATAAAACACTATCTTCGGCTTTACGCATCCAATTAGCTTCCACCTAGTGCATACTTTAACTGTCCCTAACACAGTTTAAAAAAAGGATAACGTTGGTCTATCAGGTTTCAAGGAAGTAACTTTTTAATGCTAGTAAGGGTGACAAACGAGCACACATGTCGACTGATGTTAAGTGGATGCTGTAGTCTAAATATACCAACATCTATCCTCAACTAAAAATTAAAATGCAGATGCGTTGTCAACCCTGAGATCTGAGATGGAATGCCTCGTATCCAATAGAACGACGATCCGTTTCTCGTTACTCAATCACAGAAGCCTTTTGCTTTAGGTACGTACAGTGTCATTATCTGCAAACGACGCTTCCCGGTCGTACACATTAATTCGTGTTTGTTTATAAAATATTGTTGAGAATATTTTTGATCCACTCAAAAATCGTAAGATTCTGAAATCGTAGTTTTAATCTTACTATGCACAATATATATCCTAGCATAGAATTGAACTTATTTTATTTTTATTATTTTTTTAAAGTCGTAATTTTTCTACATAGGTCTTTTAGTTTACATGTTTACGTGGTAGAGCCATGCTGCAGCTATATTAGTAGTATAGTTGTAGCACGAATGGTTCGGCTCGGCCGAAAAAGGACCACGCTCTCACAGAATACCAGCGTAAACTAGCAGCTTAACACTACTGTGTTTCGTATGGTGAGTGTAGAGAACTGGAGACCCATTTTACTGGAAAAGAGGCATTCCATCTTAGTCCTCACGGGTGACAACGCATCAGCATTTTGATTCGCAAACGAGGATAAATGTAGATGTCTATGGGCCACAGCAACCACTTACCATTAGGTGGACTGTGTGCTCGTTTGTCACACTATCCTATAAAAAATAAGTTAGATGTAAAGAATATAATTTATTTGCTTTCAATTATCATTTTATTTATTGTGTTGATCAATTGTGTTGTGTGGATATTTTCTCATAAATTAAAAATCGATTACTCCCATTTCGTCTCTGGGATGTCGTAAGAGGCGACTATTGGAAATTTCAGAATAATCTTGTGGCTTCAAATAATGGCCATATACCGTCGTGTTTACGCCAGACGTAAAATATCCAGACCGGGGCAAATCTCTATAAGCTTAAATGACTTTCACTAATCAAATAAGCAAATCTCTATAAAGACAGAGGCCGGTGTCTAGGTCAACACAAAATCTTCAAGGTTAGTTTGTTCTTTGCTTTACAGGCCCGTAACAGGAGAGTTTTGAACGGACCGATAAAGGGTGGAACAAACTAAACTTGAAGATTTTGTGTTCAAAGGAAAAGAACACGTCGAATTAATTTTTTGATTTTTTGAAGTCGATTAAAAATTGAATTAAAGTTCCGATTCTAGATTATCTAAAACAATGGAGAGATGCCATTAACTCTCACAACTTAGTTCATTAAGATTATGTAAATTCAATGAACTTAAACAATAATTGGGAATCGCTTTGTTTTAATGAAAGAAAATAAAAGTCATCACTTTCTTTTACCGTTACAATACATAAGAAGTTCAGGCATAGTTTCGCTTGAATTTCTTGTTTGTTATTAAATTTTAGTACAATTTTCAAATTCTTTACTTGTATCTATGATTACTTCTTTTCATTTTACTCTTTACGTAAGGCGTATGGGCCTGGTTGAGAAATGAACAGGTGATTAAACATTAGTTTTTGATACACATTTAATCCGTTTCTTTTCCTTTTTACAGATGACAGCAGCAGAGAGGAAGCCACGTCCGAGCAGCAGGTATAAACTTTTTTATCGCAAAATCATTAAGTTAAATTATTTTATTAGCGCCAAAAAAATTGTGCGGCAACGCCGTTCTTTGATGCACGAAAAAACCTGTGGTGAAATTAATGTGCACAAAAAAGTTAATCAAATATTTACCGCCAGTACTTAAAGTATCGTAATTGCATTCAACAATGATTTGTACGAGAAAAAACTTATTTTATATCTATAGTATATAGGTAACTAAAAGGTTGTTTTTTACCCTAATGCCCTATAAGGAGGGGTAATGTTTTTCGAGAGTATATATGTATTTCTGTGGCACGCTCTGTAGAGTAAACGGCTTGATGGATTCGTCTTAGTTGTGGAAGTGACATAGGGTGTAAATTTTTTCTCTTTTCAGTAAAACCTTTTTACGCAGTCGAATTTTTTTTATTACTGTTTTAACCTTTAAGCTTGTTAAATTTCATAAGTTGTGCCTAAGAATCACTTTTTTGTTATGCATCTGTAATATTATTAAAAACTATCAGTTTACAGGTACTGTTTTTAAAACTACAATATCAATCAAACCAACGGTTTGCTGTCCGATACTAAAATATACGACCTAAGAAAATTGTAGCACTGTGCGCTGCTTCCACTCTGATTTATGGCGTTACGATCGCGGCAATGTGGCAGGTGAATATTTCTAGTGTTGTAAGCGCGAGTAAATCATGTAGATGTTTGTCAAGCGGTTATAATTGGAGTATACCTCTTGTAGATTAGATACGGAGGTCGCCACAAGCCCTGCATCGGTATCTATGACCTAATTAAGCACTTATCTGATGGCGTTGTAAGGAGATAGTCGCCTAACAGCCAAGTTAACGCAATATCGTACATAGCCTTGGTTTGCGTAGCTATATTATCTTTAGATCTTTTTTTAAAGAATAAGGATGACTGAGGCCTCCTTTGCGCGAAGCACGTGTTTATATGCAGCATGGGTTGCAGTAGAGACTTTACCCATTATCGATCGCTCGTTTTTCATTCTAATAGAAACACGTGAAAAAAGTGAAACTGTGAAATATTTGGTTAATGGAGATTTAAACGCGCGACGTCTCGCTCACTTACAACCAGATGACGGAGGACTATAGTCCTCCTTCATCTAGTTGTAAGTGAGCTATAGATTGTGAGGTATAAGATTGTGAGCTATAGATTGTGAGTTGTAAGTGAGATGATATGTCATTACAACAGGGAGCTATTTCTAATTCAGCTTTTTTTGTCCACTTTAGCAGAGGCTTATATTAAATTATTGCATTATCACTATATAAACTACTACGCCATGCCAAACACATGTTCTAACTGCCGTAAATCTGATGTAAACAAACTTTACGACACCACATTGCTAATGTCGGTCAGAATTGTTAATTACTGCGTTTGCGTTTCTGTCGCATTTAAACAAGACTCGTTGTGAATTTGGGTTTAATTCGATTTCCTTGGAATTTATACTCTAGTGGCTAGACAGATATTTTTCTGTCCTTCCGACGATCCTTTGTCCTATAAAAATCTTTAAATTTGCATTAAAAATATTCAGGATCACTTATCGGGATAAAAACTATCCTATCTCTCAAGTTCGAGCAACCGATACACATTTACAAAATTTCATTAAAATCAGTTGAGGGGTTTCGGAGATTAGCGTGAACGAACACTGTGACACGGGATTTTTATATATTGAAGATGTGCAACTCTATATGAAAAAGGGGAATGGATAGGTTTAAAAAAAAACCGGGTTGATAACCAAAGAAATTCTTTGTGTGGTCAAGGAATATTTGAGGAACAGTTTTGCTCGACTGGCAAAGAATCACACACTCATAGAATACCAGTAAAATAAAAATGCATAGGTAATACTGCTTTGTTTAGTGTGGTGAGTAACGAACCCCAGAAAGTCTTACTAATGGCAATGATTTATTCGCTATTAATTCAGCAGTGACAACCCTGACTGGTCCTTCACTGCTGGCCGTATGAGGAAGCTCAAAGTCGCTCAGCGAGCTATGGAAAGGGCAATGCTCGGCGTTTCTCTGCGTGATAAACTTAAAAACGCGGATATCCGCAGTAGAACCAGAGTAACTGACATAGCCCAAAGAATTACTGAAGTGGCAATGGGCCGGCCATATAGCTCGAAGAACTGACAACCGATGGGGAAGAAAGGTTCTCGAGTGGCAGCCTCGTACTGGCAGGCGAAGTGTAGGGCGTCCCCCCGCTAGATGGAGTGACGACCTGGTAAGACATGCAGGAAGTCGATGGATGCAGGTGGCTCAGGACATGCTTTGTGGTATTCCTTGGGGAAGGCCTAGATGATGAACCGTGACTATTTAAAGGGATTTATGATATAGGTATAAGATGATGGTAACTGGCAAACAAAGAAGGCTATATAAATACTTGTGTTGTCACCTGAGGACCAAGATGAAATGTCTCACAGCCTGTAATTATAAAATTGTAAATTGTACTTAACTTCATACGCAAATATGCCCTTTATTACCACGTTTTTAAACCCCGACGCTAAAAGAGGGATGTTCTAAGTTTGACCGCGATGTGTGTCTGTTTGTGGTACCGTAGCTCTTAAACGGGTGAACGCAGTGCAGTTTTTTTTTAAAAGTAGGTTTTCTAGCGGTGGTTCTTAGACATGTTTTATCAAAATCGATTCAGCCGTTTCGAGGCCATTATCTGTTTTGTTTAGGGGGGGGGGGGGGGTTGAATTTTTTTAATTTTAGTCATTATTAACTCGCTTTCGTGTTCGGGCCGAATTTAGAAATTGATTTTAAACTAACTTCCTAATGTAAAACTCTGTATTGGATGACTATGTGTGTGTGTGTGTATTGTGTAATTAAATCTTAGTCTACGTTACTTGTCCAATTTTTCTTTGTACTTTATTTATAAGTGGGAATTTTTAATTGGCCTTCAGTACATTTCTTTTTTATTGTTCATACATTTATAACTGGCTGTAAGTTCTCCTAAAATTATAATAAATAAATAAATAAAAATATGGTATAAAAATATCGGAACACGTGTTTTGCTTTATTAATGTTATTTTGTTGAGTCCTGTTACTTGTATGCAGTTTGATGACATCCGTGCGGCATTCGTTAGTTGCAGTGACGTAACTGGGTTCACCTGAGAGCCCGAGCGTCGCGTCGGTCGCGTTGATTTCTCGTTTCAGGACACTCCAGTCCATCTTGTGTTGATAGTAAACTGCCTAAGCGAACGACAGAATGAAACGGTACCTTCAATGTTGAGTTACAGTCGACACTCGCTCGTTCGTCACATTGACGGTTGCTCGCGGACTCGTTGTGTGGGAAATAGGTTCGTTTTTAACCTTCTTCCTAGGTTACATATTTATTTATTCCGCCAAACAGCAGTGCGACACTGCTATGTTCCGACCTGAAGGGTATGGAGAGGTATAACTAAAGGCTGTGATGCATTCCATGAAATTGGCTGCATGTGTCCAGGTAGTGCAGTAGCCATTTAAGTTTTATGACAAAAACGTCGGTGTATGTCGTTATTTTTACTTAGCCAAAGTACTTTTGGATATATCTATACAATCGAAGTGTCTGTTTGTAATGGTGAAATAACAGTTTTTTTTATTAAATGCATATGAAAGTATATACGGTACTGATAACAAGAACACAATTTTTAAAATTTTTGTTTATCTGTCTGTCTGTTTGTTCCGGCTAATCTCCGAAACGGTTGGACCTATTTTGACGAGACTTTCACTGGCAGATAGCTGATGTTATAAGGAGTAACTTAGAAAAATAATTAGTTCCGCGCCAAAAAAAAAAATTAAAACTCATGAAATCCAATTGTAATAAATTACACGCGGGTGAAGTCGCGGGCAATATCTAATATAGAATAAAAAAAGGTGGGCGTTGGTTGTTGTAAAACAAATTTTTGTTATAAAACACTTGAAAGAGATAACACTTGTAATAAAGATAAGTAAATGACCGCGATAAAATGCATTGTGATCCGCAAAATTAGTTTTGTTCATTAGTTTGAAATATTACTCATAGGAGACATGACAAAAAATGAGATTGACTTCATTATGACGACAAGACGACAACTGTTCAGTGATGTCTCAATGATTGCGAGGGTGAAAACGGGTAGCAATCACCGAATGGTGAGATGCACACTGAAACTAAATGTTAAGTTTGAGAAGTCATTTCTAATGAAGTCAACGCTCCGTCCCCCTCGTGCTCTAATCCAAAGTCCCGAAACCTTTCAAAAAAGAAATGTTCGATTTCGATATAGATAATCAGCGGTTTTGCTGTAATTGTTTTTTAGGTTTTCGTACCAAAAGAGTAATCAACAGGACCCTGTTACTAAGCCTCCACTGTCCGTCCGTGTCTGTCTGTCAGCGGGCTGTATCTCATGATCCGTTAGATAGTTGAAATTTTCACAGCATGTGTGTTTTTATTTCCGCTATAACAACAAATAAAAATAAAAATAAACATTAAATGGGGCTCCCCCAATAGAAACGCGTTTTACGATGCTACGGAACGCTTCATGCTCCAGTCTGACTCGCACTTGGCCGGTCTTATTCTTTTTAAATGTTGCTGCGGTAACAACCAGCCAGTAGTCTCACCATTATGATTCTACGTGTAATGCGGATCTAATTTCATTAAAGGAGTTATGGATAATTTGGCCTAGCCTTTGTTCTCATAATTATTCAAAACACGTGGCCTGAGGCCGGGCATTAAATTAATATGTGGGCAGGACATTAAGCTTATACGGAGTTAGAGGTAAGCGGAGACAAATTCGTTCCAGACTCGTGGGTAGGATATTTGGAGCGGACAATGCCACGTTCGGTGATCTTAAACGCAAAGCGAAACTATGAGATTATTTCAATATATAAATGAAACAAAATTAAAGTATTTCATCGGTGTAGGCTATTTAAAATAATATATCGTTGATTGAAATACGACTAAGCACTTTCGCTGAGATACTATTATAAATTTACGTGGTATTTTTTCACGTGGTAGAGCCATGCTACAGCTAT